AAGAGGGAAAAAGCCAAAACAGAATCTGCCCTCAAAGAGCTCATATTGTGAAACAACATTTATAAATGAGTAAATTTAGTCAATATAAGATAATTGTATTTAGTCAATACAAGACAATTGCATTTAGTAAATACAAGATAATTTGGGGAGGAACTACTACTACTAACAGTTGGGCAGATCAGGAAAGACCTCACGCAGGAGGTGGTGCTTGAGCCAAGCTTTGAAAGAAACCAGGAATCTTCAGAGGTCACAGTAAGGAAGGAATCCATTCGAAATATAAGCAGCAGCCTATGCAAGGGCAAGGTCATAGAACGACATGTGTGAGGAAGAACAGTCTTGAATAGACTATAGAGTGTGGGAAAAGGAGTACAGTACAATAAGTCTGGAAAAGTAGGTTAAAGCCAGATTGTGAAGGTTTAAAATGCCAAACCATGGAATTTATATTTTATCCTAGAGAACATGGAACCAGTGGGGTTTCTGAATAAGGAAATGAGAGAGTTAGATCTGTGCTTCAGGAATATCAGCTTGGGGAGGATGGATCAGAGAAAGCGAGGCCATTTAGGAGGCCATTTCAATAATCCAGGCAAAAGGTAATGAGGGCCTCTACCAGTCTGGTGGCCTCTCAAGTGAAGAGAAGGGGACGGATGAAAGAGATATTGTAGAGGTAGAATCAGTAAGACATTCACTTAGTGTATTAACTGTAGCTTATGCTAGATCCTTGTGGTCTTAGAATGACAAGAGCAGCTTCCATCATGGAATATATATTCAAGCAATTTCTTCATGTACTTGAATTCTTCAGCGAATCTGATCTTACCTATGTAGGTTCTTCCACCAAAGTTGCAGGTCATAATTTATTCATATATTTTCATCCTGTGTGACTCTTATATGTCACTTCCCATAAATCTCCATAGCAGGCCAATCCAACATATTGGGAGCCTTCCACTAACTCTCTTAGCATTATCAGTCTATCTGTAATCCCTCCCTTTTGTTACATAGCCTGAGTCTTTTCCCAATTATGCATCTCTCTCTCTGGCACTCTTAAACCTTTTTTTATGAGTAGTTCATCATTGATAATATGTAGAGGCCTAGTTATGCCCACCACACATCTCACCATCGCCCTTGTCATGACCTGCAGTTTGGTTCATTCAGAGATTGTTGCATACCATTATTTGTAGCCATACAGACTCACAGAAGAATATTTGTGTTAAAAAAAATAATAAAATTTTTATTTCACCCTTGGGGTCACTGAAAACATGGTATAATTTCCCAGCCTCCACTCTCTTTCTCCTATTCAATTCTGAAAACAGCTCATTCTTCATCTGTAGTGGCTGCTTAATATATTAATATTGATAGACAAGGTCAATTACCTGTCTATCTAACCATACATCATAATCACAACAATAAGCATTCTTTTCCTGTGTAGACTGTTAGGCTGCACTTACCTATGGGGAATCCCTCTTCCATTTGGATTCTGTCCTGGACATTTTCTATGACAACGCTGAAGCATATAAGTCCCTGTTTTTGTTCTACTTCACACTGGAGGATTGTTATCTCTGCTACTGCATCTATCAAGGAATCTTGTGTGGGAGATAGCTTATTGGAGAAGAAACTTGAAGCCTGGATTTTGGTTTATCAATCAATCAACAAATATTTATTAAATGTCTACTACATGCCAGGGACTGGGGATAGAAGTACAAAGAATGAAATAAGACCTACTTACAAGGAATTTGCATAGCTTTTATTTACAGTAAAAAAATATATATATATGTATATATATATATAGAGAGAGAGTATGTATATATATACTATATACATATATATATATAATAGGATCTTGTATTCTCAGTACTTGACAGTCAACCATGTGACTTAAATATGTAATCTGCTTTAGAATACACTTTTAACAATTCCTTGAATTTTCATCAAGGATACCATCTTCCCAGATATGGTGGTACACTACTGTCTTCTAATCTCTGCTAACGAGGGAAGCTGAGGCTGGTGGGTTGTTTGAATTTGGTAGTTCTGAGCTACAGTAAGGCTAAAGCCAGTTGGATGCCCACCCCAAATCCAGCACTGATATTGACAAATCTCTAGAGCAGAGAGCCACCAATTTGCCTAACAAAGGTCAAATCAGCCCAGGTAGGAAAAAAAGAGCAGGTTAAAGCTTCCATGCCAATCAGTACTGGAATCAGGGTCATCTGTAGCCACTGCATTTCCAGTCCGAGTGAAATAAGGAAGAAAGGAAGGGAGGAAGGGAAGGGAGGAAGGGAAGGGAGGAAGGGAAGGGAGGAAGGGAAGGGAGGAAGGAAGGAAGGAAGGAAGGAAGGAAGGAAGGAAGGAAGGAAGGAAGGAAGGAAGGAAGGAAGGAAGGAAGGAAGGAAGGAGGAAGGAAGGAAGGAAGGAAGGGAGGGAGGGAGGAAAAAAGGAAGGGAGGGAGGGAGGGAGAAAGAAAGGAATAGCATCTTTATTTATGTGTATAGATCATTCTCAAAGACTTTATAGAAGAGATTAGGCCTATAAATCAATTATTTATTTGGTAATGTCCTTTTAGTCATTTTGGGGGGGCATAATCCCAACTGTTATTTTTTCTAATTATCATTTTTCTTCCTTTTTGATATCTTCTCAGCACTTTCAGAAGCTTGTCATCTTCAGAATGAACCTCCTTGGAGCATATGCATTTTTGTTTCCTTAGTATTATTTCCACTTCGTCATGCAGCACATTAGTAACTGAGATGGTAAAAATTCAGGTGTTCAGGCTTTACTTGCTATTGATGAAGAAATAGTTTCCTGTCGAAAGGTTTATAGATTCTTTCTTTTTCCATCTTCCTTCCAATTTTATCCTTAAAGATTCTTGGAATGAATGATCTTGCTTAATGAATCTTTCACAAATTTTTTCCAAACCTGTTTTTTCCCTCCATCTCTTACTGATGTTGTACCAGCCCACACTACTCAAAATCTTCTACCATTCTTCTCCTTGTCAGCTTCTAAAATTCCATATTTGACAAGGAGATCCAGTATTCGGGGCTGAAATGGTTTCTGGGCTCTTATGACTTCCTCACTATGGAAATTCATCAGTTAGAGGTATATAACAAATGGCAATAATTCTTGTTTATGTCTGTTTCTTTAGTTCATTTTCCATTTTTGGCATCAAATAGCTTATTTGAATAGGTCAGATTGGAGTTATTTTATTTGCATACTACATCTTCACCTTATTTTGGTTCTTTTTTTTTTAAAACTAGTGTTGATTTTGTTATTACAAGTCAACGGTCTATACCCAGACAGCTGACTCATCAGTGATTAGTCAGTTCCCATCTATTAAAAACATAGCCAATTTCTCTCTCTCTCTCTCTCTCTCTCTCTCTGTCTCTCTCTGTCTCCCCCTCCCTCTTGTGTGTGTGTGTGTGTGTGTGTGTGTGTGTGTGTGTGTGTGTGTGTGTGTGTTTTATGTAATTTTGTTCTTGGTCTCTATCTCCGGTTGCTTCAGACTGTCTTCTCAAAAAAAGTAATCACAATATACAGGTGTAAGGTTTCTATACATATAGAACCCTTCGGCTTTTTCTATTTCTTAACTCTGAATCATACTTTCCAACACATTTATCACTGTCCTCCTCTGTGCCTACCTTTTTACTGAGGTAACTGAGTATTAAAGCATATGTCAACTTAATTTGGATGGTTTTGTGTTCCTCCTAGAATTTCTTTACCTTCTCATCCTCTTCAGCAAATGACAAATGTTGGTTCATAAAACTCAATTATGTTCATGATGGGTTTTGGTTTTTTTGAAAATGTTTATCCTGAGCACCACAATAAACGACCAAATAGTCCCCTGAAATGTTGTTTCTTAATGGCTTCAAACAATAATCATACTGTTGAATTTAATACATAATGTATTGCACAACGAAATCAACTTTACTAATTCCTTGATTTGCGTCTCCAAATAGAATCTAGGAACTATCATTCCATTTTGCTGCAACTTCCTTAAATTTTCTGGTTTCATTGGTACTAAGAATACAAAGATTGATATGGTTCAGTTCCACAACAGTATTGCAATTATTTTGCCACTAGACAAAAATCTCACATTAGAGTAACTAGTTAAATTAATGTTAGCCTAAAAACAATGTGATTTTTAGGATACTCTGTCTTTTTTCACTACTCTGTCAGTAATACTGAGGAAATATAAAGAGGTCACATTATTAGTTTTCTTTGCTTTGTGGGCTGCACCATCCAAATAATTCATTATCTACTCATCAGCTGGTCAGCTCATCAGTGATGCTCCTCTCTCTGCTTCTCTAAGTTGGTCTAAAGCCATCAGATAAAGCATATCCCTGCCAGTTCCAGAGTCTTTGCAGCATGAGAGAGCTGCCTAAATTGTGCTCTGCTGGCATGCCTTTTCAGAAATCATGTCACTTCCATGCCATGATGTAGCACCAGAGTAGGACTCATGTGAAGGCCTTACATGTGGCAGACACTTCATAAATGTTTGTTGAAATGCATTTGTTGGCTGAATCAAAGCATAATCTAGGTGTGCTTTTCTCTAAATTACAAACACATTTACATTATATGTCAGGCATAATTTAGAAATTAATTATAGTTCAGAGCATCTGTTTGCTCAGCATAACAAATGATTTGGAGTTATCCAAATGTGTATGTACATTAATAAAGTAGGTTTTGAAAATAGAGTAAATGGTTTTTATTTTTAAAATGTTAAAGCCTCATAGGCGAGTATGTAACTGACAAGAATAATTGGAGAAGTTAAGTGGTATTGCTGAAAGGCTTTCTTATGCTGAAGAATATGTAACTTCTAAAATTATTCGTGTCAGTTACATCTTCATCTGTGAGAAGTCTTTTTAAAAATGAAAACCATTTAGTCTGTTCAAAAAGCTACAAATATGCATTTAGAGGGAGATAATGACTTTGACACTTGGGTATCACTTTCCACACCCACAGTTTCTTAGGTTTAACTTGATCATCTGTAAGATCCTTTCTAGCACTAATAGTCTTACCTTTATGTTAAAGTTGGTTTCATTTTTTTCATTCGTATATCTGCTTTTAACCAAAATATTTTCCAGCTTTAGGTCTCTATGAACTATATCTACCAAGAAAAAATAAAAGGATAACTTGAGGTCAGTAAGTGAAAGTTATTTGGAAAGGATATCAAGTGAAAGAATGAATGACTGTCAAAGGAACGTGCCAAAGACATTTTACAAAATGCCCCAAGGACTGCCAACTGTGAAACCTTGAAAAGATACAAGTTTGGAGATTCTAGAAATCAGACTCGAGATTTCTATCCCCATTCCTGTTCTGTTCTCTTCCAGCAGGAGATAATGCACATAGACATTGTAATGGAACTCCAAGAACTGACTGTGTATCCCTGACTTGGTTAGCTCCTAGGTATATGACATTGGGCAAGTCATTCACTTCACCTCTTGGGATTTTGCATTCTCTTTTGTAGAGTGGAGATAAACACACCTGTCCTACCAATAGCCATGGGGCTATTGTAAAGACAGTGCTTTGTAAACAATGAAGTGCTGTGTAAAGGGAACTATCATTATTACTATCTGTGCCTTTCCCCTAAAAAAGACATTTCCTGGTACTTCCATGAAAAAAAAACCACCCTGCAGAAACTGGTAAAATAATTTATTTTAAACTTTCTTAGAAGGGGAGGAAAAAAGAAAAAATGTGTCATCAAGGGGCTCACAATTCTTAGCTATACACAATAGGGACAGGGCTAGGGATTGGACCAGCAATTTCATTGATAAATTTAGCTGATATTGTTTTCCTTTAAGAATGCTGATGTGCCCCAACAGGAAAAAAAATATGGATTATCATCATTACTAATCTTGCTGTTCCCCTGATTGCCTTATCCCCACTAACACTAGTTGGTACTCCTGAAAGCAAGCCTGGCAACTTCACACTGCTTAAGGGCATTGGACTCCAAAGTATTATAATTGCTGCTTTCTGGGTGATGCTAATTGCATTTTACCAGTTTTCTTTTTCATAACTTTTCTCAATATTCTAAGTATGTGGTTTTTTTTTGCTATTTCCACATGAATTTCCTTACAACTTTATCTAATGCTATCAAACAGCCTTTTGGTATCTTGATTGATATTGCTTTAAATTTATAAGTTAATTTGAGAAATAGGTTCATTATGATTATCTATGTTTGAACTAATTCCTCCATTTCTTCAGTTTTTCCTTGATTTCTGTCAGTTGTTTTAAAATTGTTATTTGTCTAGGTCTCATGTGCCTTGATAAAGGAATGCTAAGATATTTGATACATTTTTTCATTATTATAAAAGGTAGTTCTTTACTATCAGTTTCTGGTAGTAAAATTTAGAAACAGGTAATTTTTATGAGTTTATTTTGTATCCAACTCCTTTACAGAAGTTATTGATCATTAATTTTTCTTGTTATTATTGACTGCCTTTGGTTTTCTAGGGATACAGTCTACACCAAAAGAGATACTTTAACTTTTTCATTACTAATACTTTTTCCTTTCATTTCTTTTTCATGATTTATTTCTATTTCTAAGATATTTTACATGGCTAAATATGAGTGATGAGAATAAATATTTCTATTTAACACTCATTTTTATTCTTCCCTGTATTCAATATTAGCTTATGGTTTCACATACATACTTTTGATTGTATTCTGGAAAAATCTTTCTATTGCTATGGTTTAAACTATTTTAACCCTACATGAGTACTGCATTTTATCAAAAACTTTCTTCATACTGTGAGGTAGGCTTTTTCACACAAGGTAGGATCATGCATGCAGCCTTAATTTTTTTCATTAATAAATTTTGTCATATTTGTTGTTTTCCTAGAACTAATCAAATGTGCACAGCATGATGCAGTGGAGTCAGCAGCCCTGGCAGTTGTGACAAGTTACCTTGTCCTTTATCTGTGACCTTGGGCAAATCACTTACCTTTGCTGAGCCTCAGTTTCCTCATCTACAAAATGAGGTTTGACTTGATGATCTTTAAAAGCTACACCCAACCATAAATCTAGGATTTAGGGATAGATTATCTAAAAATATTTGTATTCTATTTTTGAGCATTTTACTTTATTCTTCCCAATGATATCACTCTATAGCTTTCTTTCTCTTTTCATCTTTGGTTTAGGGATTAATTAATGCAGGGAGCTGAATTTTGAATTTAAAAAAAAACCAACAAAACCAACCCTGGGTTTGAGGAATGGCTCTGCCACTTTTTACCTGGTGACCTCTTTAACTAGCCAGGTGACCTTGAGAAAGTTCTTCTAGCCCTCTGACCCTCAGTTTCCTCATCTGTGAAATGAGGACAATAATTCTTCCACTGTCTACAAATTGCAATTGTTTTCAAATGATCAAATGAGTTAGTTTATATAAAATACATAAGTGTAATTTATCATTATTATTATCATTTTTATTACTTTAACTGAATATATGTGACTGGTGAGCTTCCTTCTTACCCTTTTTGTGAAGGTATGCAATAGCTGACCCTAGGTCCCCAATGATCTGCCTTGTCTCATTCTCAGAGAAGTGCCCTTTACTGTTCAGTATTCCTTTAAGTTCTCCATCCTCACAGAGTTCCATCACAAGGTACATCCGCTGGCATTTAAAAGGAGCAGAGAGAGTTATTTAGCACTGGTTATTAAGATATTTTTTGGATTGTTGAATCATCTCAAGAGTTTAAATGCATAAATAGTAAAAAAAAAACCATAACTGGATCTTTTAAGATGAATGATTCCATTTAAAATGCTGTTTTGCTAAAGAAAGTAAACCACATTATTAAAAAGGAGGAATTACTTTACTCTGTTCAAATGATTTTAAAAAACCTTTGGAGCTCAACTGTGAGTACAGAGCAGAAGAGAACAATCAGGTTTGTGGAGGTGAAAGCACAGGTGACATTAGTATGGAAGACCGTCCTAATGCTTCGGTCCTTTCTGGGACTATGCCAAACACAGAGTATTTGAGTGGAGGGAGCTCTAGAAGTCAAGTTGGGGTAACCATATTGGCCAATATACTGCTGCTATTGTAAAGAGAACTGTGTGAAGAAGAAAGTGAGGGAAAAAGCCAGGTAGGATTCATGTTTACGCTATACCTGTGCAGAGGCAAAGATCTGAGCTGCTGATCACATACCCTGTGTATTTGTGTGTTTGTGTGCTCATGCGGCTGATCCTCTGGTAGAGGAGAGTCACTGAGATTTGTGTTCCTCAGATTTCTTGTGTGTATCAGTAAGTGAGTTGTGTTTTTCCCAAGTCTGGACACAGTTTACACTATTGGGACAATTGGTTTATGATCGACATTTTGACTAGATTCTCACTCAGTACTGCTTGAAGACAGCTGTTTCACTGGATGGTAAAGCTAGTAATCTAGGGAGCTGTTCAGATGAAGCTCACTTGGAGGAATCTAGAGTGCAAGGTAACTATTACACGTCTGAGCACTAAGATGTGCACATGAATGCAAGGTAAGGAATATGGCAAATTGTGTCATACTCTCTGTTTAGGGCAGAACCTTCCTTATTCTCCCAATGATTGACACGTTTCTTTTCTGATCCTATATCATGTCTCTTCACTTGCTCCCTGAATTCTACTAATCCTTTAGCACCAACTCATGCCTTTGCTCTGGATCCTACCTTCTGTCTTAGGAAATTTCAGATAAGACAGACCATCATAGAATCTCAAAGCAGAAGTGATCTTAGAGGTCATTAAGTCTAACCCTCTGCACATTATGAAACTGAGGCCCAGAGACTTTGTGACTTGACCAAGGTCAAACAGCAATTTAGTGTCAGAATTGGAACTAACAAGGAGGTGTCTGGACTCCTAGTCCATTATACTACAGCACCTTCATATCTGAGAAAGCGGTGGATCAGCTTGTTATGTTATGGAGACAATAAAGAACTGTTCCATTTTAACCATATCCCTTAAACTGGGTCGATGGGTGAGAATGGGTAAGACCCTACTCATTGGTTTGAGGGGAACACGTGCTGTGAATAAGAGTGATCCCGATCTTATCCTTGTGTCGAACCAAGGAGTCTTGCTGTTTCTTCACCATATCTTGCTTAGTCTGTCTTCCGTGGAAAAATCTTCTCTCTAATTATATAAGTATTGATCTGTCTGGTTGTTTCTCACATATCTAATTAAAAGGCTTAATCCCAAATATTTGAATAGTAGTATCACAAGTGTTCCTTCTCATCCTATCTTATACACCAGGAGACAAAGTTGGAGTGTGAAAAAACCAACCTATCTCAATATACTGTGGTTCCTGAAGGTACCCCTTAAATAATATAAATAAGTAAATAAATAAATAAAATAAATGCTTAGAAATACAGACTGTTTTCAGGTTCTGGGATAGAAAATGCTTTCTTCCAACAAAATCTTAATCTGGATTTCTCTGCTGATGCAAGATTCACCAAGTAAATATTTTAAAATGTGTCTGCATTATTTCTTTGCAGATCTTATAGCTCACACTATAAATTCAGTCCAATTCACCAAACACGTATTAAGTGTCCACTGTTGCCATACTAGACCTTAGGATATGATATGCCCTCCAATTCTGATGACAAGGCTTCTATAAAGAAGGTGCACTCTGAGTCAAGGGCCCAGGTGAGGAAATGCCCACCTCTGAAATGGAAACTAAAAAGAATCAGCACACAATGACTAAGACTAGAGACTCAGGAATCTCCTCCAAAGGAATTTGCCCTAAGAAATAACAAGCACAGTGTAGATAAGGTTAATGTGTTCCTCAAGTGTTATCAAATTTAAGCGGAATTCATCAATTTAAGTGGAAAGTAACATAAAAATACAGTGTACATCATTTACATGCTAAAACTAACAAACTGGCGGTGCAGTGCATAGAGTGTCAGGCCTGGAGTCAGGAAGACTCATCTTCCCAAATTCAAATCTGGCCTCTGAGCTGTGTGACCCTGGTCAAGTCACTTAACCCAGTTTGCCTCATTTTCCTTATCTGTTAAAGAGCCAGAGAAGGAAATGGCAAACCATTCCAGTATCCTTGTGAAGAAAACCCCAAATGGGGTCATGATTGAAATGACTGGAGAAAAACAAAAAGAAGGGCAGTGATCTGCATAACATCTAAAAGTCCTAGGTGTAAGAATCTGTTACATTTATTTCTATCTTTAGCCTTTGCTTATGTTATGCCCTGTGTTTAGAATCCCACTACCTTGATTTCGTTCCCCATCCCCTCACTTGTTGACATTCTCCTCATCCTTCAAGGCTTAACATCAAACACTACTTCTTGAGTGATTCTTGAATAAACGAGTCTCTTCTTCATATAATCCTCTTATGTACTCTTCTGTACTCTTATGCACCCATCATATTCTCATTTTGGGGAGGCAGCACTAGGTCATAGAAAGAGTGCTGGCTCTGCAATTAGAGGAACTAAGTTCAAGGCCCACCTCTGATGAATCTACTGTGTAAACATGGGCAAGTTATTTCACTTGCCTGGGCCTCAGTCTCCTCATCTGTAAAATGAAAGTGTGAGACTAGGTGGTCTCTTCCAGCTCTTGCACTACGAACTTTTGATCTTAATTTATGGTAAATTCATATTAATAAGTATCTAATCACCCCTACTGGGGCAGGGTCTAATAGCTAATATGTTGGGTAATAAAACCCTGATCTACAAATATCTCAGCAGTGTAGAATGATGGGCCAAATGGAATAAGATGAAATTCAAAAAGGGGTACACTTGGGTTCAAAAAATAATTTCACAAGTCCAGAATAATGAACAAATAAGTGGCAAGTTCTTATGAAAAAAAAAAACTCTAGAGAAAATGACTTTCAAATAGATACTTGACAAATAGAAAAGGTCACATCATAAAAAAATGAGAAGAAAATGGATGGAAATATATATCACAACTACAACTAAGGGGAAAACTCTTAACCAAATAAGAGATGGAAGAAATCACAAGGGATAAAATAATTTTGATGACAGAAGATTGAAAAGGGTTTACCTGAATAAAATTAAGGCAGCTAGGAAGCTAGGGGAAAAAGGGGGATTGACAACTGGGAAAATGCTGTCATCAAATATTTCTCATATGGTCTTTATATCCACTATGTACATAAGGAATTAACAGAAACATATAAGATGAAGAGCAACTTCCCAATGGGCAAGCAGTCAAAGTATATGATGAAAGAGTTCTCAAAAGTGTTTAGCAACCATAAGAAAAAGTGCTCCAAATATTAGAAACACAAATTAATACAATATTGACAGAAAATTGGAAAAGATAACAAAAGCTGAAAATATTCAATATTGGAGGGCTTATGGGAAAACAGAGACACTAATACACTCTTGGAGGAGCTGTAAATTGGTCCAACCATTGTGGAAGGCAATTTGGAATTACGTTTTTAAAAATGAATAAAATGTCCATATTCTTTCACCCTGGAGAATCCATTACTAGCATATACCCCAAGGAGAACAAAAATGAAAAGGTCCCATAAATACAAAAATATTCATTGCTGCATTTCTGTGGTGGCAAAGAACTAGAAACAAGGAAGTACATTTCATCTGGGAAACAGTTAAACAATGCACATGAATGTAATGGAATATCACTGTGCTGTAAAAATAGGAAGAATTCAGAGACTCAAGGAAAGGCTTATGTGAGCCAACTCAGTGAGGCAAGTGGACCCAGATGAGCAATATGCATGATGATAACAACAATGTAAACAGAAAGAACAATAAAATGAATCTAAATATTGTGTAATTATAATGTCCCAACTTGAACCTGGAGAAGTGTTGAGAAAATTCACCTCTCTCCTTTCACTGCAGAGTTAAATTAATCTGGATGTGGAATATTACACATGATGTTAGATATGGTCTGTATGCTCATTGGTTTTGCTGAATTGTGTTTCTTTTTAACTCTTCGCTCTATGAGAGGTAAGGAAAGGGGAGGGAAATACTCAGAAATCAATATAATGTAAAAACAAAACATATCCATCTTTAGTGGACTCAATATGAGTCAACAGTGTGACATGGCAGATAACACCAAACCAAAAAACTGAATCCTATCCAAGGCTGCATTGCAAGGCATCAGGTCCAGAATGAGTGAAGGGACATAGGCAGGTTGGAATACATCCAAAAAGGGAGCTAGAATGATGAGAGAGCTGAAGCATTGTTGCCATCATTCTGGCTTGAATGAAAGATCTATGTACTTTTGGCCTGAAAAAGAGAAGTCTTGTGTGAACACAACTATTATCTTCAAATATCTGAAAAGCTGCCCAATGAAAGAGGAACCGGATTTATTCCACTTGGCCCCAGAGAGTGGAGCCAGTTGCAATCGGGAGGAATAGGTTGATGTAGGAGGGAGTAGCTTCCCCTTTACTGGGAGCATGCAGGCAGATGATGAATCAGAACTTGCCAAAGAAAATGGAGAGATGATTCTTGGTTAAGTATAGACTGAACTTACTAGACGGACTTCGAAGACTCTTTTAACTGAGGTTGTGTATTCTAGTGATCTTTGTTATCTTCCAACAGCACAGTGCCTTGCACAGAGTAATCATCCAATAACTGCTTGTTGTTGCTTGAATATTTTTCCAGTATCGAACAAGGAAGGGGGAGCTCTGATTCTAGCCAATTAACACTCTTTTAAAATACATATCCATAGATTGGAACAGTTTAATTCTTGATGGAAATATTCCTTAACAACCAACTCTACTTGGCAAGCAATGTTCTGATATGTAATATGGTTTCCTAAGCATACAGACTACCAGGAAGGAGTGCTGTTTATCAGGTCAGGCATATCTCTATTATCGTTTAAAAATATTTTTATTTTGTTAACTATTTCCCAATTACACTTAAGAAATTTTAACCATCATTTTTTAAAAAAAATTTGAGTTCCAAATTCTTTCCTTTCCTCCCTCACTCCTCCCTGAAAAAGGCAAGCAATTTAACATTGATCATACTTGTGAAGTCAGGCAAAACATATTTCATTTTAGCCATGTTACCAAAAAAACAGAACAGACAAAAAAAAACAAGAAAAAGGAAGAAAACAGAAAAAGTATGCTTCAATCTGTATTCAGGGTTCATCAGTTCTCCTTCTCTCTGGAGGTAGATAGCATCTTTCATCACGAGTCTTGGATTTGTCTCAGATCATTGTCTTGATCAGAGTAACTGTCTCTCATAATTGATCATTCTTACAATATTGCTGTTAACTGTATACAATGGTGTCCTGGTTCTACTCACTTTGCATGAGTTCATATAAGTCTTCTTCCCATGATTTTCTGAAATCATCCTGCTCATCATTTAAAAAACATTTTAAATGTATTATTATTTTTATTTTTAATATCCGTTTTAAAAAAGATTTTGAGTTCTGAATTCTGTCCCTCCCTTCTACCCCTCCATACCCATGTAGAAGGCAAGTAATGTGTATCTTTCCACTATAAATGAATAAATCAGCATTCTGATTCATCAGTTTCTTGTGAGTACAACTGACCTGAATCAATTCCTTAGAGCTTTATCACCCCTGGGTGAATTAATAAAGAGGAGCCCCTGAAGCTGCAAAACCTAATGACTACATCTCTGAGATGCTATACGGCCCACGTTGAAATAGCTAATCTTTATTCATTCAATGCATTGCTAAGATTCAGTGTTAAACTGTCCATGTCATTAATTCAGAAGAATTAATGCAAAGAAGAAAAAACTAGAGGAACACCAGGAGGAAGAAATAGTAAAGTCAGAGTCTCCTGAATGTGACTCCTGGATCAGCTACTGACTCCCTGGATGATCTCTGTCAACTCACCCTCTGTATCTTTTTGCTAATTTGTAAAATGAGATGGCTGCATAGGATGAATTCTAAGATCCCATGCAACTCTAATTCCTAGGAGTTTCTGATCTTACACTGACAGCAAGAAAACAAGAGGCCAGCACTTTTTCATATTGTAGATGTAATTGGTCCTAGACTGTTAGAGTACGACTTGCGGGAGCCTCAGGATTTTCCAGACTTTTTAGTTGCATAAATCCATTTTAAAGCTCATTATTGGTTGTAAGCACTGATCAGACATGTTTTAAGCTCACTAATACAAAAAGTGGTAAGTAGCCCACTTACATAGGCCAACTTGTCACGAACATTAGACCCACAAGACAAAATGCTTATTTTGAATATGTGTCCTCAGCAACAAATGTGACACAGTATAGTTAAATGAAATCCAGGAGGAAAAAAAGGTATGCTGCTGGTAGAAAAGAATTTGGTTAATTGATATTCAGAAACATCCACTTAAACTAAGGCAATGTCTCTATTCAGAGAATGCTTTGGACAGCAGCACAGCTGATCATGTCATATTGGCAGTTTGGGGGATCAATACCAATCACTGGGGCCTAATCAATCAAGTAGTCATTCCATCAATCATTCAGATGGCCCAAATGATAAGGCTAATCATGTTGGGATGTGTGCAGCCAGCCTAACTGAATTAAGGGCAAACAACCCAATTTGAGGATGCAGATATATTCTAAAAGTAGGCCAATTTCCTTAAATTTTCCTTTCAGCTATTCTAGACTTCAGGAAGAAAATAAACACTATTAACTCATCTATTTTCCTGGTGGCAGCAAGGTAACAATAGTTACCAGGTCCTTCGTGTAGATAGCTCAGGATAGTACATTCTAAGGAGAGCTGGCTGTTTCCCTTCATGAAAGACAACCAAAATATCTAACACTTTTAGAGCATAGCCAAGGACGCCATTACTGTACCCGATACGGAGTACCATGAGTTTATCTTAGAAGCAGTAGACAGGCAGAGCATTAGCTTTGGAGGGGGCCAAGGATCCAGTTCTGGCTCTATAAGCACCCATTGTATTGTTGGCCTTGGCCAAATCCCTCAGCCTTTTAAAGGAGAATGACAAAGTTCTAGAGGTGGAATGTAACCAAAGGAGAATGAGCAGGATAGTGTGGCAGCTGACGACCAAGTTACAGAAGGACAGGTTGAAGGAGCCATTTGTCTCAGGTAAGAGATGATTCAGTGAGATTGGTCTTAAGGCCTAAAGATGTAGAATCATCTTCACAGGTTGTGTATTCCTTATTTATGAACAAACTTTGCCTAACGTCCCTAATAAGTGGCTGTCTCCCTTCAACATGCAGAATCTAGTGATGGGAAACTCACTGACTCTAGAGGCAGGCCATTGCATTTTGGACAGAAATTGTTAGGAAGTTTCCCCAAATATCTAGCCCCAAACTGGTTCTATATCTATATCATCCTTCATCCAGGCCAAAGAACTCTCTCTGCAGCATAAATTCCAGGAGCTTCACCATCCTGACTGCTCCCTTCTGAATGTGCTCCAGTTTATGAATGTTCCTCACGAGAGGTGGCAATTAGAACTGAATCTTATTTGTAAAACAGAGCCAGGGAAGGCGGTAGCAGAGGGAAGGGGGGATTGGACTACATTCTCTTCAAGGCCCCTTCTAGCACTAATGTTCTATTGTTCTATGAAGCAGAACAACTAACTCCCAAATCACCATGCCTATCAATGGAAGAGTACAAAACAACAGGTATTTGAATGAAACTATAATAATGCTAAGGAAATTAAAAAATTAAATTAAATTTTAAGTAAAATTTTAAAAGGGGTATGTTTTTGTAGGTCCTAACCAACATGAGAGAGGATTCATATTCTGGACATGATAATCATAATCATAGCTATTTAGTTGAGTATAAACAGTGACCTTACTTCATTATCTTGCATCAGACAAAATTCCGTGTACCTCTAAAGAAATAAAAGGGCAAAACCCAAAGGCAGCATTATGTGGTCGAAAGGGATCTGGTGTAAGAGTGAGAAGGCCCGGTCCTAGTTCTGATTAAATAGGACCATCTCCACGGTCCTTAGCTTCCTCTTCTGTAAAAAAGGATGGATCAGACTGGACGATGAAAAAGAGAAAATTCTATGATCTTTGAAAACTAGCTTCCCAAGGCAATTGTACTTGCCAGTAAGATGTCTCTTCTATTATTTCCCTGTTCTACTTGGGGTCATCATTGGACCTACGAGTCTGACTGTGTCAAGATACATAGGTTACATAGCTGTGTGACCCTGGGCAAGTCACTTAACCCCAATTGCCCCCCCCCCCAAATTTTTTTTAAAAGATACATAGATTACATAAATAAGAATAAGGAAATCCTTCAGAACATGGCATAGCAGCATGGTGATAAGAACAGGGGCCTTGAAGTCAAAAGAGCTGGCTTCAGGTCCTAGTACGGCCACTCTCTCGGCTGTCTGACCAACCACAAAGAAGTCACTAACCCTGTCCAAGATTCCATTTCTTCTCTCTGACAAGGCAGTTGTTACCTTTTTTACCTCATGTCCTAATGATGTTTATTCGGTATTAATTACAACTTTCCAAATACTCCCATTCCTGCATTCTTACCTTGGGTGTTTCAAACACTTGTTGTAGATGAATGATATGCTCATGGTTCACACTTTTCAGGATGTTCACCTCCCGTTCAAGTAATTTCACAGCAGAGCTTCCAGCCTTAATTGATGAGGAAACACAAGATGAAATCAGAATGTCACTTCAACCTATTTCTGGGTAACAAGTGCATATTCTTTTCATATCTTTTATCTTTTCATACTATTCCTCTTTCATGTGGTGATAGGCAACTTATTCTCAAGATTAAATTAGATTCGTTTCAGGTTTTGTTCTGGTCAGTTTCAACTCCTGTGTAGTCTGGACTCTGGAGTTGAGCAGAGACTTCCCCTGACTTCCTTCTTTTTGCTGCTGCTGATACATAGCTCTGCCTTCCCTTTCAAGCATCCTTAATCTTTTCCCTTCTCCCAACTCCCATCCAGTCATCTGCCAAGTCCCAGAAATTTTTCTATAACATTTGTTATCTCCATCCTCATCTATCCAATCGTATTATCCCCAATTTAGTTTATTCACCTCTTATTGCCTCTCTATACCTCAGCTGTCCCTTGTCTAATCCATCCTGTACACAACTTCTAAAATCATCTTCTTATGATACAGTCTGATCATTGATATCACTCCTCTTATCAAAAACCGTCAGTGGCTCCTTACTGACCACAGAAGAAAGTCCTAAGTAAGTAGCCTAGCATTTCAGATTCTCTACAATTTGACTCAACCTACCTTTCAAGACTTATTTCACATTAAACCCTTTTACGTTCTATATTGTAGGGGGGAAAATGGATAATAATATTTGGTTCACCTACTACTCTTGCTTCACAAAATTTTTATATTTAAACAATATAACAATGGACAAGAAAGTCTGATTAAGACTTCTCCTCCACTAGATTGTGAGCTCTCTGAGGGCAGACGTTATCGTTTGCTTAGTGGTTGTTTGACCTTGGACAGGTGATGCAATTTTTCTATCATGTATAAAATGGCAGAGAGTAGGGATGTGTGCAGCTAGATGGCCCAGTAGATAGATTGGAATTCAGGAAGACTCCTCTTCCTGAATTCCAATCTGGCCTCAGACACTTACTAGCTGTGTGACCCTGGGCAAGTCACTTAACTCTGTTTGCATCAGTTTCCTCATCTGTAAAATGAGCTAGAGAAGGAAATGGCGAACCACTCTGGTATCTCTGCCAAGAAAACCCCAAATGGGGTCATGAAGAGTCTGACACGACTGAAATGACCGAACAACAACAAGGGATATGTGACCAGATGAGAAGCAAGGTGGTTGCTACAACTGTTTCCTGAAATCAGAATGCTTTCTCCTGCCCATATGCATTTTTACACAGATCATCCTGCATACCTGGAAAGTGTTTCCTCACCTCTGCCTTTCATAGTTCTCTTCTTCTTCTTCTTCTTTTTATTTTGCAGTTGAGATTAAGTGACTTGCCCAGGGTCACACAGCTAGTAAGTGTCAAGTGTTTGGTCTGAGGTCAAATTTGAAGTCAGGTCCTCCCGACTTCAGGGCCAGTGTTCTATCCACTGAGCCCCTAGCTGCCCTGATTGCTCTCTTCTTTTAAGGCTCAGCTCAAATCCCACCTCTTTTATATAGCATTCCCTAACCCTTTGGTTTAAAGTTTTCTCTCTTCAAATTTAATTCCTAGAGTACTTTGTCTTCATTTTCCCTGTGTCCCCATTACATCTTAGACATACACACTTATGTCTGTGTGCACATCATAACTCTCTCTTGTAGGATGTAAGCTCTTTAAGGTCAAAAAAATGTCCATCTTTACCTTTATATCCATAGCACTTAGCATAGTGTTGTACATGAGGTACATGTTGAATAAATGTTTGCCAAATTGAATTTAAAAAAGCATTGCAATTATGGGTATGAAGACCTGGATTCAAGTCCTGGTTATGACACTTACTAGTGATGTGACCTTAGACGGTCATCTACACTGGTCCTATTTCCTCATCTGCAAAATAGGTATAATAGTATTTGTGCTACATCCTATAAAGGATTTCTATGAAGGAAGTGCTTTGTAAAGCACTATAGAAACGGGAGCTATCTGTGTCTATGTATTTCCTCTGTAAATTTGGTTAGCTCTAATTCTGTCCCTTCTCCTTAAATGCTTTCAATTTTCAATATATTCAACTGAGTTTTTCTTCACAATAGTACTTACTTCTCTGTCCACATTGGTACAAGAACATGAAAACCATGACCTTCCAGGCTATCTAACCACTTGGAGAGAATGAGGAACAGCATGTTTGGGGCCTTACGCAAATGCAATAAGGAAACAGGCATTAAGCAGGGGCTGATTCTGGGCCTGTGCTCCCCCTGGTTTCTTCTAGTTCCCTTTGGCTCTCAACAATAAATCCAAGAGGGACCTGCCTTCCCTCAGACCAGGATTACTTCATTCATACTAGAAGGAGCCCGCATTCCTGGCTAATACTGTTTGATTTCTATAAGCACAGTCAGAGGAAGGAAAGTCAAAGAGAAGGGAAGGATGAGAGGGGAAAAACACTATTTCTAATCAAACTGAGTTTCTTCTAAGAGAGTTGATGTCTCGCCTGTAATTTGAGAGGCTCCAGTTACATCCTCTCTCCCCAAATTGGTGAAGTTCAATACCAAGTGGTGTGGAAAGGTGGACATCTGAATTATGGTCCTATTTCTACTACTAATTACCTATGTGACCTTAGGCAAGTCACTTTTCTATGGTCTTCCTTTCTCAAGGGTCCTGTGTCTTTGCCAAAATTCTGTCCTTTCTATAATCTTGAATCCTATTAAGGGTTCTCTGTTTTGTGCTGAGTCTGGTCGTCTTCTGTGGGGTAGTCTGGTATAATAAACATACCAGAGAAGGATAATGGGCATCTGAGTGTAAATTCGGTTATTCAATCACTTTCTTCTATGAACCAGGTGGTAGGCCTGGAGAATGACTTGGAATCTCATCCCTGCCACTATCAGTGGGGGCAAATTACCATGGCTCTTAGCTTGCTGGTGATACAAAAATAGGTAGTGGGCCAGATTTGCCCCACACAACAGAATTTGTTGACTCCTGAACTCGATGGTCTCTTAAATTTCTTATAATTCCAAGATCCCAAAATTCATAAAGTTGGAAGGGAGGATTGGAAGGTAATCAAGGATTTAGAGTTATGAGGGACCGAAGAAGAATCATAGGTTAGAGCTGGAAGGAACTTTAGAGATATAATACAACTTCCTCTTTTTATAAATAAGAAAACAGATCTAAAGAGAGAAATTACTTGCCTAATTAAACAAACATGGCCAGAATCTGAACCAAGGCCCTCTGACTATTGATACAGAGATTTTTCCACTATACTGTTGTCCCTCAAACACCCCACAAAGGTGATCTGACACCTAGAAAAAATAATTGGCTTGGCCAAAGTCACAAAACTATTAGGCAGTCTTCTGCAATCTCAAGCAGACCTCATTACTCATTCTTACATTGGTTTAATGTGGTTACTTCATTGTCTGAATGTCAGCTTCAACAAAGTAAGCTATGAACTTGCAGGCCAGGGACTGGGTCCACAGCCTTAGTCTTCTTTCTATTATACTTAAAAGGTTCCATACCAAATAATTCAATTTGATGAATAATAATCATTTTTTATTGAATTGAATTCAGAGCTTAGGAAATTATATGGAAGGATAATTATGGGATCTAAGGAACAACTTAATTTAGGAGTGAAGAGCAGTTAACATTCTGACATTGAACTGAGAAACCAGATATTTTGGTTCTAGTCTGGGCTCTGCCACTAACAATTTGTATGATAACTTGAATCTCTGGATACTTCAGTATTTTCGGTAAGAAGTTCTAAGTTTGAATCAGATGGTCTCTAATCTACCTTCCATCTCTGATATTACATGTTCTAAGGTCCTTGCAAGCTCAGATGTTCTATTTATTAAGGTGATTCCATGACTTGTGGAGTGGTTCCACACAATTCATCCTGAGTCTTAGAAAAGACCTCAGAATCGCCCTGTTGTTTTGTCCGCATTTTATTTATATTTTGTTTTTGAAATTATTCCATGTAAACTAGAAGTAAGTATGATATAAAAGAAAGGCAGCAGTAGAGTCAAAAGATGTGGGCTTCAGACCCTGGTCTTCAATTTACTAGTCAAGTGACAAGGGTAAGTCTCTTTACTTCTTGAGCCTCCAGTTTCCTCTTCTGCATATTCTATATTTTGGATGAGGTGGTATCTAATTTCCCTTACCAGTTAGTTCTAAAATTCTACAAAAACTAAAGCATCTCTTAAATTTTTTACCTTCTTTCTTCATTATAGGAGACTCAAGAGAATTTAGAATTAGAAGGACACTTAGGTTTGTTGTTGATACCGACTTTCCCCCAACTTTTCTCTCATTCTTTCTCAATATCCTGAATTCTTGAAGGTCATGCCAGGGCTTAGTTCTGGCCGACTCTCTCAAGTTGGAAAGGCTTGAGAGATAGGCTCTGGAGACAGACTGTCTGTCTTCTGAGGACCAGCCTGGCTAAGGTTAGAGGTGCTCCCCTCCAGAAGGCTGCTCATCAATGCACAAAGGTTTTAAGTCACAGCATCTCATTCTAAACGCAATTGTTCATTGCAATCTGTATCAATGGTGGGAGTTCACATATCAATGAAATGGCACATCTTTTTAAATAGAAATATGGTTAGTGGACTTTCCCCATTTTCATCCACTTAATTTTGACAGAGCAAAAGTTACTAGTGATATTTTAAGTTATATCTAGCTTTATCAATCTATATGAACTGAACTAAATCTCTTTCTAACTAGAAATAATCCTTCTGATTCTTAGTGCCTTCCTTCACTGTTGACTCTACAATTATTTTTGTCTATCATCAATTTTCATAGAGTTGGTAGCAAACTAGTTATAGTTTGTGTGTTTTAGTTACTGGGCAAAAAAAACCACCCTGTTTATTTCTAAGTATATTATCTATCATATTGACTCCAGGACAGTACATTGTAAAGTTAATGTTTTCAATTTTTTCCTTATAGGCATGGAAACACAAAAATAATGATAAAATACTCAAGTTTAAAAGACTGAGTTTCACATCTGAAAAAGAGATGCTTAGCCAACTTCTACTCAAATAGGAAATGAACAAGTAGTCTGGGAAAGAAGAGAGTAGACACTTGAGGGTAAGGAGTGAAGAGCAGGCAAGACGAAGGTTGCCCTCAGGTAGCAACGAAAAATGATAATAGTAATGATTGCTGACAGTTATCTGGTAATGCCATTTACAAAATAATGCTTTACATATACATACATACTGTCTCACTTTATATTCTCAATAGTTTTATGAGGCACTGTTGTCATGTTCAATTGTTTTTCAGTTGTATCTGACTCTTTGTGACCCCATTTGGGGTTTTCTTGGCCACAATACTAGAGTGGTTTGCCATTTCCTTCTCCAGCTCATTTTATAGAGGAGGAAACTGAAGCAAACAGGGTTAAATGACTTGTCCAGGATCACACCGCTAAAAGCGTCTGAGGATGGATTTGAGCTCACAGAGATGACTCTTCTGACTCCAAGCCTGGTGCTCTATCCACTGTGTCATCTAGATGCCCTGAGTTTCATGAGGCAGGTAATAGAGACAGACAGATACATACACACGCTCACACACACACACACGCACACACACACACACACACACACATATGTATATATATATATATATACATATATATATATGTACATATGAATGTATATATGTATATATATATATACATATATATATACATATATATATATGTACATATGAATGTATATAAAATGATATCCTCATTTTAGAGATGAGGAAATCCTGAAAAGGATAAATGACACATACAAGGTCAAAAAGCTAGCAAATGGCTGAACCAAAATGTGAACATAATCCCCATTCATTCCTCATCTATAAAACGGGAAGAACAGCAAGACTTCCCTCATAGCATTATAGTCAGCATCAAATAAAGATAATGTGTATAATTTCATAAATTATTTAATTATTATTTCAGAATTTCATAAATAGTTAATTATTAGACAACTGACAGCTATATCCGGTACTCCAGGTTTCCTCTAAGAAAAAGTAAAATGGGGGGCAGCACGGTGGCTAGAGCACTGGCTCTGGAGTCAGGAGGACCTGAGTTCAAATCCGACCTCAGACACATAACACTCACTAGCTGTGTGACTCTGGGCAAGTCACTTAACCCCAATTGCCTCACCAAAGGAAAAAGAAAAAAGAAAAAGCAAACGGGAAAGGGCAGAAACTGGATCAGGGCAGCCTACACCCATGGACCCATTCTTTTCCCTTTCTACTATACTGCCTTGGGCAATTACTCTACTGACTTAGCCTAGTGAATTGGTCAAGCATCATCCCCATTTTATAGATGAGGAAATTGAAGCATATGGAAATTAATGGATCTGTCCAAGGGCACATAGCTAATCAAGTGGAAAGCCAGGGCTCTGATACAGGTATCCCAACTGCAAATTCAGGGTCCTTTTTTTTTTCACTATATTGTAGTTGCAACTGATAGTCACTGATAGTCACAGCATGAGCGCTGTTTTACTATTTAGTAACTGAGAAAGGACTGGGCCGTTTCCAAGAGGAAAAGGGTGTGGAATTTACTCTGGCCTATTAGGAGGACTATGGACTTGAGAAGACATAACATATACAGTCCAGTAGAGTAATTGCCAGCATCGGTAGAAAAGTGGGGAAGCAGATGGGTTAGTGAGAACAGGTTTGATTCAGTGAAGAGTTTCCAACTGGAAAGTTGTTCCCTGCTTTTCACTCTCAAGCTATCTGCTTTATTCCTTCCTCCTTTATGAATGGATTATAGATTAGAGGTGAAAGGATCTTAGATGCCATCTAGTCCATGGTCCTCAGTTTACAGATGAAGAAATTGAATCCCAGAGAGGTTACGTGCCTTGCCCCCAGATGGTACAGTACAGGGAGTAGGCGTCAGGGCTGGGATCTGAACGGAAGGCCTTGAATTCCAAATCCAAGGCTTTTTCCACTCTACTCCCCCAAATTCACATTATGAAATATAAAGGTCACATTATTATTCCTATTATTTATCCTTAATTATTATTAATCCTTAATTGTTATTAATGGTGTTATATGCCCACAGCTTAGCCCTTAGCCCTGCTGATATTTCTTACCTTTTCTTTGTTCACTTTTTTCATGGCCCACTTGTGATTTGTTTCCTTGTGTGTGACTTCAATGACCACTCCAAAGCTCCCTTGTCCCAGTTTTCGTCCAAAGGAATATATTTGCTGGGGGAAAAGAACAACATCTTGTTATCTCTCACTATCAAACAGTGGACGTTGGAAATCTCAGACATTCACAGTGACCAAGCTTACTAAGAATTAAGCAATACCACTGATGAGGCAGTTAGGGACTATGTTCTGAGGACTGTTGTCTTCTGGAAACAGCTTCATCAGAGATTAACTTCACTCCTAGATCTATGTAACAGTTCTGGTCTCTCTACTGGAAACTAGTCTTGAATTAGCAAGTCATTCAGTCAATAAAATGTATTCATGTTTAATAATGAATAATTAATGTGCCTACTCTGTGCCAGGCATTGTGCTGAAGATTAGAAATACAAAAAAAAAAAAAAAGCAAAAACCAGTCCCTGGTCTTGAGGAGTTCACAGTCTAATGAGGGAGAAAGCAAGCAAACAAATATGTACAAACAAGCTACATAAAAGAAAAACAGAAGTAATTAAGAGAGGAAAGGCACTAGCATTGAAGGGATTGGGAAATGCTTCCTGTAGGATACAGGGTTTTAGTCTGGCTTTGAAGGAAGCCATGGAAGTCAGTAGATAAGAGGTGAGGAGGGAGATTATTCTAGGCATGTGGGGGCAGCCAAAGAAAATGCTTTCCTGTTCAAGTTATAGCAGAGAAGCCGGTGTCATTGTATCGATGAGTACATGGCAGGAGGCAGGGATGGGAGAAGAGAAAGGTATGAAGAAAAGTAAGGGGCAATTGGCTAGGTTATGAAGGACTTTGAATATCGAACAGAGGATTTTGTATTTGATCTCAGAGGCAATAGGGAACCATTAGAGTTTACTGAGTAGGAGTAAAAAGAAAGGAAGACAGATAAATAGTCCTATGTGAAGGATTTATAGGACAACATGGGAGAAAAATCACAGGGCAAGAATAAAATCATTGACCATAGCTTTAAAGCTAGAAGCGTCCTTAGGGGCTATTTAGTCCAGCATTCTCATATTACAGATGAGGAAACTGAGGTCTGAGGAGATCAGATAACTTACTCAAGGTCACATAGGTATTAAGTGGCAGAGCTAGGTTATGACCCAAGGTACTCTGACTTTAACTCCAGAAGTCTTTCTGAATAACCAAAAAGAATACGTGGGTTGTAATTTGCACCAATGGAGAGAATAACTCACATCAATGAGATGATAGATTCACTAAAGTATTGCAATGGACTTATGATCTGACCTTAGTGCATTATTTCTGAATTTGCATATGTTTTTTCCTTTTTAATAAATTCTATGAAACACTTATGATTTGTATTATGTGTAATCAAGGGGTAGAAGGGAAGAAAGGAGCAGAAGCAAGACAGGGGTATTTGGCATCAGCCAAAGGATGATCCCATTAGCAAAAGCTGTAAAGAGTCAATTACATCTCAAGTATAACACATCTTGGAACTCAAGAAAACAAGTTGATCTAGGGACCAGGAAAGCCAAAAAGTTTAGTACTGCAAAGTAGGTTTTCAGGGATTATAGGAGGCCTGAACAACCTAAATTGTAAATGTTAAGGAGTGACCGGCCCATGGGCAGCAGGTTGTGCAAGCCTGGATTAGAAAAAGGCTAAAAAATAATGAAAAGCAAAAGTCCTAGGGCAAAGGTAAAGTTACCTTACTGGCTCTGAAGTAGAAGGGAAAATGATTAGGGGTCAGTGACAACAAAAACCAAGGGATAGAATCCTTCACAACTCGTACATTCTTAAAAATCCACACCTCAAAATTATATTCCACAAAACACTGGTGTTCCACACCATAGGGGTTCTGTGAAGAAATTTAAGTGCCAGCCAGATTCTTCTCCCCCTCTAAAATATGAAACACTAAAAATATCAAAAACACTTATTATATGAGATGCCCCAAAAGTCTCATCTCATAGGGTTGTTGTGAGAAAAGCAACCCTATCAATAAACATTTATTAAGCACCTACTACATAAAACACCAGCTGAATTCTGGAAATACAAAAACAAAACAAAAAACAGTAAATGACCTCAAGGAGAGAGCTTATATTATATGAAGGAGGGAGTTCAATAGATAAAAGTACATAATTTTGCAAGGGAGCAAAAAGTACTAGAAACTAGTGGGATCAGGAAGGCTTCTTAGCCTGTGTAGAGACATGGTAACATAGGATGGGATATATTCCTTCACAAACTCTCTATTCTAGTTAAACTGGATTCCTGTTACCTATATACAATATTCTATCTTCCATCATTCCATCTTTTATATCCATAGCACAATGCCTGGCACATATTAAGGGCTCAACAAATACATGTTGACTCCATGTCATATTTATACCAGCACTGATGCATTATAATCCTTAGCTCTGCTTTTAGAATCACTAACTTACTCAGATCAGGGGACATTTCTTCCACTGAGGAAGACTCTGAGATTTCCAAGTGGAATGATCATGGTGCCTTCAACAGAAATAGAGGAATTTGAGAAGAAGTAGCTTTATGGGAGAAGATAATGAATTCTATTTCATACATGTTAAATTTGAAATACATCCAGCTGGAGATAGATCTATAGATCTAGGATAGAAATAATAATGAAATCCATAAGAATACCACATTTCAGGAAATCATATGAGAAAGCTGGCCAGGGTATTTGAAATAGGACAAAGTACAGTTTCATAGAATCCACAAGACACCATCAGAGAAGAAACCCAGTATATAGCTTATGCATTAAAATAGTCACCAAGTAACAGAGAGGTTCAACATTAAAGCAATAATTTTGCAAGTTACCAGACAGAAGCCCTTCAACATATCAAGGAAAAGTGTTATGAGCAATACAGGACTACTTATAAATGACAAGTAATGAAAGAAAGGGGGTAGGAAGAAGAATAGATCGCAAAGTATAAGAAGTCACTCTGTAAGTCAGGAAGTCAGCCTTTTTGCTCTACAAAGCTATGTATAAAATTTTTCAGCAGAAGGAAGAATTCAAATCATTCCTACTAAGGAAATCAGAAGTGACAAGTGACTTTGATATGCAAATTCATCAAAGAAACTTAAGAAACCTAAAAAAATCTATTTGGAAAAAAAGACCTAGAATGAGCCAGTTTTTATATGATTAATAGAGACAAGTTTATTGTCTTTAAGCAGCCTTGCTGTGTCTGAGGGGACTGAAAGAATGCAGAGAGAGCATGATAATAGAAAGCCATGAAAAAAGATCAAATAAAGCCATCTTAGTGAAAAGAAGTATGGAATGGTGAGAATAGAACACCACAAATAAAGGTCATTTGAACAAAGAAAAGGGAAGACAAAAGCAGGGCGCAAAAGCCTGATCTGCATCTGACTGAGCTAGGCAAAGGAAGTATTGGACAAAAACAACACTCAAGGAGAAAAAAGAAATATGAGTTAGGTTGAGTAAGGTGAGGAGTAGGTATCTAGGTAGAGAGGTTATTTTAAGCAAAATAAGCACCACTTAGTATTCTGAAAAAAGGGGGTCTGGAAGATGTGTCTGGGCAGAGGAGTGCTACATGCATGTGCAATGGTGGATAAAGGGTTCAGAGTGCTTCAAACAAAACAGACCACGGGTACCTAATGCTTGTTTTAAAACAAAGAAGTAATATAACAAGATTATAGGGGAATACAACCTTAACAATTATAGCTCTGAATAGTAATGGGCTAAATTTACTCCTAAAAGGGAAGAGACTTACAGAATGGTTTAGAAACTAGAACACAATAATCTGCTGCATATATACAAGGAAAAGCAAATTTAAAACAAATGCACATATAGAGTTAAAATTAGAGGTAGGAATGAAATTTATTATGCTCAGGACAATGCAAAAATTCAAGAACACTGAACATGATTTCAGATGTGGGAACAATAAAAAAAATAGATTCTTTTAAGTAGAACAGATAGGAAAATATTATGCCTAAAGGTGCCACAGATAAGAATATAATATGAACATTAAATATGCCTTCAATGAATGCTATATGGGAAAAACTGGATTGGATATAACCACAGTGATTGTTGGCTAGAAATATTATTTCCACTATCAATGCATACTTTCACAAAATTTTATCATAAGCTAGAATATAAAGAATTCATAAATGAATGTAGAAAAGCATAAATATTAAACACATGCTTTATAGACTACAATGCAATAAAAAGTGTCATCAATAAGGAAATATGAACAATAGATATAGACCTATATGAAGAGTAAGCAATAATTTCCTAAATAATAAGTGAAAGCCACGAAGAGCAGAAATGACTAATGACAGCATGGCAGCCCTCAGAATGTGATGGCCCAGGCTCCAAAGCCCCTAAAACTCAATAAGAGACAACATAGAGGCCTTGAAGATACAACACTTTGAACATCAAAGATAAAAAAGGCCTAACCTTGGGAGTGGAGGTCAATGCAGGAACCTAGGTAAGTCAGGGCAAGACCAAGCAGGGCAGGCCACCTCACCAAAAAGTTCATCAGAGGGCAGGCCTGGCTCTGGCACAAAACTCCAGTTCAAGCACTAAGGCTGCAGAAATGAAAAAAAAAAACAAACAACTTGGGGGTGGGGGTTGGGGGTGAGAAAACTACCACGATAGAGAATTACTGTAGATCCAGAGATAACACTGAAATCCAACCTGGGAGAAAGTAATGCCATGACAACTACAAGCAGGCACTTGTTAAAAAAAAAAAACAACAACCCAGGCTACATGAATACCTAGAAGAAATGAAGCAGACCTCAGAAAGGAAAAACCCTGGACTTTCCCACAAGGTCAAATCTCTAGCATTTGCCTGAGGCTATAATCCCATCAACTGGCTTTTCATTGTGGCTACACCTGATCTCCCAATTCTCTGTTACCCTTAACCTAGTCTAGCCCTCCATTGTTTTACCTCATTATGGCCCCCTGGCCATTTCCCACCCAGAATTCTAGCTGAGCTCCATTCTCCCATGGCCATGTGGTCCAGGTCCCAGGAGTTCTGTTCACCCCAGCTTACTGGCCACTCTCATCCTGATCCTCCTTAGATCCCTCTCCAGTCACCCCAAACTACTTGGCCACTCTTAGATCCCTC